TGAACCAGTGCTGCATTCAACATACCACGACATACAAAAATCAATGTTTATCTGTGTTTTTTAAATATTTGCTTTTAAATTAAGAAATCGAGTAATATATAGTACTAAAATTTGGATTATAGTCTACAGTTTATATCAAAGTTATTGACATAAATTCACGAAATAGTAGTTCAATAAGATTTTGAATGCGATACAACAAACAAGATGACATGGCCTTTCACCCATGACCCTTCTCAAAAGGGTTAATAAAGAAACATAATAAGCAGGGGCATTAATATTTCATACAAAGTACTAGTATGAAAATCCTACAAATATATCAGGTAATATATGTTTATGAACCTAATGTATTATGTTATTTCTATCATAACGTGTTGTCTAACGTGCTGTTGTCAAGTGTAATTTGTCATTGGACTTGATTTCACACAACTTACAAATGAATATATTTTAAATCCAGGTTATGCAGTAGCAAATTAAGCACACAAGTCACCAACTCAAGGAATTTATGTGTGGAATATAGAATCCACTAAGAGACAGTTGTAATATAAACACAAAATAATTTGTATTACAACCTATTGATCAATTCCTGTACATCAAAACTCCCAAAGATATGTTGAAATAATCCACAATCAAAACTATCACTCTTCATTTTGGATACTGATATGTACATTAGTCAAACCTTCAATCATGTTTATTAACATGGATACAGCATTGAACAAGTTATCTTTTAAAGTAATACAAGGAATTTCCTCAGTCAGTTTTTATTATACAACTGTGACAGTAGATCTTCCACTGGCAATTCAATAATATATTTTACTAGTCTTACTAAATCTTCAATACAATTAATGTTTCTCACATTTCATCTGTTTTTAACATTACATTCATCATGTGGACGTTCAATTTTAAAATATTATTTTGATGATAATTATATTAATTCTTAAAGCTAAAGTGAAAAACTTTTCAAGACTATGTTGTCCTTTCTCCACTAAAGTTGTTTGCATAATTATTTAATATGCATAAAAAACGTCAAGTTAATATCCTATACTTGGTTCTGTGAGCTACTTCAATTTAATACAAAAGTTGATTGTATCACACCTCTCTAAGAGAATAGTTGTAGTATTTGGTTGTGATTACTAACAATTGATCTTGTATATATAAATCACTCTTATTTTACAAATGAGACTGCCATTGTTCATATCACTTTCATCCTAGACTTTTGTAGCATGTTCTTTCGCTCTAGCCACACCCAATGATATGATGTATAGTAGACTGTTGTCAGGCCAACATAGTCTGTTTACACCTGATGATAAGCTGTTGCCAAGCCAACGTATAGTCTGTTTACAATTCCCTTCATTATTATTTGACATGCTCTTGGTTTGATTTGGGCAGACATACCTATGCATTATTGTATAGCTTTTTCCTACAAATTCAATGGCTAAAAAGGATCATAAATGGTTTTAAAGTTTTGTTTGTGTGTTTTCAAGCAGAAAATGCTCTGGATTCAATGAAACCACCCAGATCAAAGCAGAGCATGAAGAGAGCTATTGTTTGACATATCACTGATACTTATTAGTCCAGCCAATTTGAACCGATATCCTGTTTTTGGTTTTAATATTCATTTGTTGGTAACTGCCAAATGGCGGAAAAAAGATAAAGCAATTATTGTAATTTTTTAAAAGCTGATTTATAATTAGTAGGAGTACAGTTGCCTTGAAATAAACCATGCAAACTCCATGTGTAATAGTACTGTAGATGGTTTTCATTTCTTGTGTGGTGTACAATAATCATTATTTTGTTTATGGGAGATTTATATATTCTCAACTGAGGCTTCTCATTCACACATTTCCGTGGCTGGGAACTATAATTCTCTGGGACACCCTATTACTGGACACCTTAACATTTTGTCTTAGATGGCCAGTAGATTTCAAGCTCTTCTGTGATATTTCAGGCACACTTTTGAATAATAATGCATTCCCCATGCAGTTATACCCCTCAGGATTGGAGTCAGTTCCTCAAACTTATCTTTTTATTTTGTGCCATTTATTCATGTTAGATGTAAAACACAGAAATAAAGTACCAAAAAGTATTTGAATAACAAAATAAAAAAATTATTAATTAATTAATCTGTGTATACAAACCATTATCTATATGAAGTAAATATGGTCATGAATGAGTCACTTCATAAGAACAGTGCTCTGCCAGGCATCCAAGTCATTCTATTTCAAGATCATATGACATAAATTGCTGATCTTAGAATGAAAAATTATATCATGGGGGCACAATACAAACAAGAACTTGTACTACTAATATTAAAAGTCAATAGAACTAGTACTTTACTCTGCCTTGTACACTTAAAATAAAATCCTAGTTTAACGTTTTATTTCATTTTAACTTAAGAACAAATACTACTACCATTAATACTATTACTAGTAGCAGTATGACAGCTACTGGAATTTTATTTTTAGTAGAAATGTGCAACATCAGCAGTAATTTCTAACTGATATTAATGTCTATTTTAAAATAAACGTACAAAATGCTGTAAACCTACTCTCAAAAGTTAAAATTGCATAAGGCTTACGTAAAAGTAAGACCAATGCTGTTAACAACTAGCAAAACTACGTAAGAGGTCAACTACGTGTTCCCTAATTGGCCCCATAGAAAAAGACCAAAGCAAGGCTTAATAACTCACGCAGCAGGCTTAGCAAATAAACGCTCAAAAATTTTTATAGCAGTACAGTAAAAATGTTGGTCTTATCCTTAAAGGTCATTTAAGGTTACTGTAATTCATTATTCTTCATAGTGTTTAACAACAATGTTATCACAAACACAGAAATAGTTTTATTCATACCTATACAAATTATATCACCCATGCTGATATTCCAACTCAAAAACAAATGTCACGGCCATTATAAGAACATACTAACATCGATACCATCCCACAATTCCATTCAAATATATTTGAGAGACCTCTTCTCATTCAGCGTTTTCATAAAATATAAAAAAAGGAAAATAATGAAAGAACGAAGATTAAAAAACAGAATCAAAATAACTTGAATAGCTATATTTAAATAATTATCTTAGTGTAGGGCTATTTTCATTTTCGTGAAATAAAATAAATGGAAATGATAATTGGAAATTCATGTTGTTAACTGTATGTGTTGCCTGAATACGTTATGATATATAAATGTCACTAAAAACAAAAAGCATTTTAAAGAAATATACATTTATTTTAAGTGAATATAATGAAATGGTATAAAATATACTAGAATGAAAATACTACATTGTTAAAAGATTCATATAAGTATTTAAAAGTCGTAACTATTTGTTTGGATTTTTTATGTAGTGGTAACTTTCATACAACTCATACCGTTTCTTCATTATGCACTTAAGAATTATATAATATTAAATAAAAATATAAGACACTTAATTTTTGTTGAACGTTAACACTACAAATCGACTAAAACCATTGTTAAAGTAGTTATGTATATATGTATAAGCTTGAGAAGAAACATACTGAAATCTGATTTATTATATTTAGCATTTTCTTTACCATATCTACAAAATTAAAAGGAACCTCAGAATAAGTTCAAGAACAATCATACCTACTCAAAACTTATTGGCAACTAAACCTAGCTACCTAACATTTAATTTGTTTTCTTTGTTCTTTGCAAGACGAATCTTTTGTATAATAGTGGATTTGCTGTATTGTTCCTATTGATCAAGGCATGGAAATGCATATTTAGGACAAGGTTCATAGTCTAGATTTGCAAAATGTAAAATGAGAAATATTAACTTGTTATGCAACAAACATACCGAGTATTGTCCGCATTTTTGCGAAACATTTAGTAGTTAAGTTTCCAACATACGAACAATTTTTATTTTAGAATCTCCCATTCTAAAAGAATCGTGCTTAAAACTGGTTTTAGGCTAGATAAAACCAAATAGATTGCCATTGAGGCAGAAATTAATAAAATAGAGTCCTTCGCAATATATTGAGCTAAATCAACAGTCTTTTACAGAGGGTAGCTACATAGCATTGAAACTGGCATGCCAAATGAACCGTATCCTTTATGCAACATAATTATATTACATTAAACTTAATATGCTTTAATAAGATTTTAGTATATCAGATTACTGTCAGTAAATCTGTCTCCTAATCCTACAACATTTTCTTGAATTATGTAAATTTATTATATTAGAAAATGCTCATGTATGTACGCCATGCGTATTCATATAATAAAATATATACCATTGCTGTCCAACACTTCTCATGTTTTCAAAGTAAATATATTTTTTACGTATGATGATATTGAGTCATTATGTTTTTGATACTATATTTGTTTATTTTGTAGGATATATTAGGGAAAAAAAATGTGAAGTAATTTTTTTTGGGGGGGAGTCCAAAGCAAATTTTGTGGTAGAGTCCTATTTACCACCTTCAGTTTGAGCAATACACAAATACCAGCAATGAGTAGAAAATATGCAAAATGCCAGTTCTAATGTTTATAATAAAGTAGTGACAAAATGTTTTATAATAACTATAAAGCAATAAACAATGAATCCTTTTTGTTAAATGGCCGAATAGATATATATTTATGAAAAAACAAGCTGTGAGAACATGATAATAAAAAATTGCAAAATAATAGTTTTACTTGAAACGACTAAAATTACTGTTGTCATAGTGACATTGATGCAAATATAAGTTTTTCAATGAACCATTCTACTTTATAATTATTTTTTATTTTTCTGTTGGTCGTGGTTCCTTCTATCAGGTGTCCCAGGGACTATTGCAACAATTCTACCCCTTTCCCCAATTGTAGAAACAATGTTGGTTATTTTCTTAAATTTAAGCAAAAGGTTTTTTTTTCTAAAAAAATCTAAAATGAAACACAAAAGTTATTTAGTAATTAAAATTCATATTATAAGCTGTATAAACTTAATGTACAGAGTTGTTAACTCTTTTTTTTACATAATCACAAGGTGTGTGACTAAATTTTCATTTGGCCCAAAAAGAGTTTCTTCCGGGTATTAACTTATGCTACTTTTTCCTACTGATGTAGTCCCCTGGTGAGGTCAGTGGTAAGTTTACTGGCTTACAGTACTGAAATCCAGTGATCGAATCCCGCGGTGGACAGAGTACAGAGAGCCCACTGTGTGGAATTGCGTTTGTTTGTTTCTTTGTAGTTAAGCAAAAAGCTACACAATAAGCTATCTGTGCTCTGTCCAACGCGGGTATCGAAACGCGGGTTTCTAGCGTTGTATGTCTGTAGAAATACCGCTGTGCCACTGGAGGGCGTGGCTTTTTGTTAAAATAAACGACTCCTACTGTTGTGATAAGGATATTTTTTGTTGCGTTTTATGAATTAGTTTGTTTTGTTGAATTTCACACAAAACAACGTGAGGGCTATCTGCGCTAACCGTCTCTAATTTTGAAGTGATAGACCAGAAGGAAGGCAGTTAGTTAACGCCACCTACCGCCAATTGTTGGGTTACTCTTTTACCAACGAACCATGGGACTGACTGTCACTTTATAACGTCCCCATAATTAAAAGGGCTAGCATGTTCAGTGAAGGGATTTGAGCTCGCGACCCGAAGATTGCGAGTTGAGTGCCGTAACCACTAAATCGTACCAGATCGTTTATATGTTAGTAGAAAATCATTGGCAAGAGCTTCTGATATTATGGACATAAGCATAGATTGAAATCTAAGTGATAAAATGAGTTTGCAGAGTAAATATAGGTTCATTTTATAGTTCTTGGTTATGATAATTAACATTTATTTCTTTGCGAAAACCGTTTTCGTGTCAGAGAAAGCTCATTTTTTATGTGAAAACTAAATTAATTATCTCCGTCATGTGTCTTTGCACCGGTTTTTGACACCCTATATATTAGTTTGATTTTTGTCAGTTTGTATTTGTCACTAGCTTAGCTATTGAATAATTTGTTTGTTTGAAGTTAAACACAAAACTACACAATGGGCTATCTGTGCTCTGCCCACCACGGGTATCGAAACACGATTTCTAGCTTTGTTAGTCCGCAGACATTCTGCTGTACTACTGGGAGGGGGCGGCTATTGAAGAAAAGAAAACGACCAAGAAGACATGTTTTAATCTTGAAACTTCTCAAGTGAATTTTTACAACGCTTAAAATTTATCTACACAGGTCCTAAAATTCCTAATTTTTTCTTATCTTTAAACTTATATTTGTGTTTTAAAACTTCTCTTATTGTGCAACCAACCTTGTGTCTCCCTAAATCTTCCGTTCATTTATATTTTTTAACCTGAACATTTTTCCGTGTTAAATACTCTGAATTACTGAAACTTCTTTTGTTATTTAATTTTTCAGGTTTTGTTTCTTCATTTTAATTTTCCCACCTATCTCCACCGTCTATTTAACATAAACCTGATTCATTGTGTTATCTAAGTGAGATATCATGATCTTTATAGGATGAAATAAGAAAGAACATCATGAAAAAAGTACAGGCGATTCAAGGAAAATAAATTAAAACGTTTTGAAATTTGTTTAAACTTTTATTGTTTATTTTCCTCTATCAAAGGCGGGTTCGAATCCGCATCCCACCAAACATGCTCGCCCTTTCAGCGGTGGGGGCATTATAATGTGACGGTCACTATTCGTTGGTAAAAGAGTAGCCCAAGAGTTGGCGGTGGGTGGTGATGACTAGCTGCCTTCCCTCTAGTCTTACACTGCTAAATTAGGG